TGTTCTAAAAATCTACCACTCATTCTCTTGTTGCCTGCCAACACCTCTTCTCCAAAATTAATTCAGAATGGCACTTTTTAAGATCAGTGGAATGAACAGTGAAGTAGTGCTTCCAGTTGTCTTTGTGAGACACGAAGAATACAGCTGCTTTGCATATGAAGCGTAATCATCATTGCGGAACCTGATACAAACAGTGGGACCGGAACATTACATATTTTCATGTACACTCCTCCTTGTTGGAGAACAAAAAAGCAGCATCACACTAAATGTTCAGTGAGTCTTATTCACACATGAGCCTCCTTTAAACAGGCAGATGAGCTGTTTTAAGTGAAGGAGGCGTGAACAGGCATCACCCTCAGTGACAAGTCATTCTCTGTCGGTGTTTCCCACTGGCATGTCAGGCAAAAAGTGTATCAGTGTTTGTACTAAGCTATGATAAACCTGATAACTGAAGTGGATGTAATTCTATACTCTTTGTTTTTGAAGGTGCAAAGAAATGTTTTTTATTTTTATCCGAGATAGAGAACAAGCACAGTCCAGTACAGTTTCTGCCGCTGACATTTCAATTCACTTATGGCATGTTGTTTTTGCTCTATTTGTTTCTTTTCCTTTATTTTTGCTAAAGCGTTTGGCTCATGTCTGTCTGGAAGGAGCCTTCAGTCACATTGAACTGTGGAAACTAGAAAACGTTCTGCTGGGATTGTGGCCTGAAGCCGTTTTGAGTATTTACTGTAGGCTCACGCTGCGTTGTGTATCTCTCTCACACACACACACACACACACACACACACACACACACACACACAGATGCAAGCCTTCAGAGACAAGTCAAGAGGTCTTTGATGGAGGTCTTACAAAAACAGGAAAAATTCCCATCTGGATATTAGGCGGTCATGTGTAAAGTTTGAAAGTCACCCAGACAGCAGATAAAGATGGGGAGAGATGAAAGCTCTGGGTTTACAGGCTCAAGTTAATGTCTGATGGTTGTAATAAAACTATGCTCAGGCTTGGGTGGTTCACTTTCATGCGCCTGCATTTATGGTAGGTCTCTCATAAAGGCACTGTCAGCAGACACAAAACCATGACTATAAACCTCAAGTGCTATGATTTACATTCATATTTAGCTAATTTGCATTCCTAATTTATAGCCATTGACAAGTATGAGGTTCATGTAATGCAGTTAAAAGTAAAAGGGTGGAGGTCAGAGAGGTGCATGGTAAGAGTGTGATGCCTTCAGTGTACGTTCAAACCCTGCATCCCACTGGAAACCGGTGC